ATCGATGACGTTGTGACTAACCTTGGTTATCGCCAACGCATAGCATACTTGATTTTACCGTTTGGGCCCTCCAAACAATACTCACTAACCTATTCGTGCTTTCATCCAGACATCTTCAAATCGCTGAAACTGGGCAATAAGATGGTTCGAATTGTAAGTGAGATTGGACATTCTGTTGATGACTCACATCATCTTACATCTGCTATTTGTATAGGCCATAGCTCAAATTCGCTCTACCGATTCCGCGGAAGCAAATTTGCACATAAGTGAAGACCTTATTCAACAGGCTTCTAGTGAAGGCGCCCAGGTATGTCATCGTTGGTGATCATGTTGCGCAAATTCTAATGCTGTAAGTAGGCTATCTTTTTTCCTGAAGCTTCCGACTACATATGCTCCGACGGGGCAAGATGCAAGCAGCTTTGCCAGCCTATAGAGTATTCAATCTTTGTTCAAGGTTTGCGAAAACAAGCGAGAAAATACAAGCTGCCTGTCGCAGTTGGCATCCACGAGCCTTGCACTGATGCCGAAAACACACGCGTAAAGAATACGTTGGTATGGATAAATGAGGCTGGTGAAGTCCTGCATCGGTATCAAAAGGTGCACATGCTTGAGATGAAACTCTCAGACGGCCCTCAGATTCATGAAGGCGACTTTTGTCAGCCAGGAAGATCCGTACTTTCACCCTTCGAGACCCCCATAGGGCGAGTAGGTGCAATGATTTGTTTTGATTTACGTTTTCCGTCCCTAGCACAGAAACTCGTCAGCATGGGAGCTGAGATACTCATCTACCCTTCAGCATTTGTACCTAATACCGGGGAGCTTCACTGGATCCCACTTCTGCAAGCAAGGGCGATTGAGTGTCAAGCATATGTCATAGCTCCAGATCAGGTCGGACAGCATAACGAACAAAGGTCGAGCTACGGTCATAGTGTTGTTATTGACCCTTGGGGTCGTATCATTGCTCAGCTAGGGAGCGAGGAGAACGTTCTTGCGTATGCCGAAATTGATCGCGAGCAAGTCAAGCATGCACGGCAGAGCTTGTTCTTGAGAAAAAGGGAGTAAGTTCGCCAACCTAGTCTTCTTGTAGATTTTGGCTGACTGTTTTAGGGACATTTATGGGATTGGCGGCGATCCATCTAATCCATTGAAGCAAAACACAGCTTCGCGGAGCTTCAAGTCAACCATCTTTTCGTCTTCACTAAAACGCCGCATAGCGACAATGGTAGCAGGCATACAAAATAATATCAGCAAAAGTATTGTCATAGTCGCCTTAGGCTCTGCTTTTTGGCTGTTGCGACGCCGATTCTTCCCCAAACATCAATGAAACGTCATCCGGCAGGCACTGTCGTGGATATGAATTTTGCCATAAGCCATACCATGTCATAGTTATGAATAAGCTCAAAGTTAGCCAGGATGCTACAAAAAGTAGAACGCATACTATCTCTTCTGACTTCACATGTCTACAACACCACCATTCAAATATGCGGTATCTACTCATCTGCTCTTCCTCTTGCTTCGGCTTTCCATTTAGCTGCCCATGCTCTCTCCGCTTGTGTCTTGCACCATCTATTCAGTGCAAAATTGGGTAGATACAGTATGGGAGGACCCTCTGGTGGTGGGAGTCTACGGCCATCCGTCAAAAGTTGTGGCCAAAGAGCTAAACCAGGCAATCCATTCATTTCAGGTCAGAAATGAGCTGCCCCACCATGAAAACGAGGAGTTACGCAGTGATGTGAGCGCGAAAAAACAGAAAAAAAGCATAATCTAGTTCTAGATCTTCAGCAGCACCAAGAGTATCAAATTTTGGCGGCGGTGTGGGGTCTTCGGTCAGCACAAGAAGCTCGAGCTCGTGAACACGCAAAACACCAAGAAGCTAAGGCAGAAAAACTCCGAAACAAAAACAAAAAGAGATTCAAGCTGCTACTACTGCCTAAAAGAAAGCTTGCAGCAGAAGCCAAAGAAGCTCGACAGCTAGCACGGGAGGCGCAGGCAAAGAAGCGGGAGGTAAAGGCTACGCAACTTGCGGCTGCCCGGGCTGAAAAAACAACAAGAACGTGCTGCTTCAACACCAAAAAGTCTTCAGAATAGAGGGGATACAGACAAAACAAAAGCTTTATCAAGTCTAGTATCAAAAACAGCTAAGCGTCGTGGTGTTGCGGATGATCAGAATGGTGGTGCGTCTGCAGCGCAGCC